TGGGAGGGGCCCGGGGGTGACCGGCCGGCCCCGCCCCGGGACTGCCGGGCCCTGGGGGAGGGGCCGCGCTGCGCCCCGAAACTGCGGGGCCGGGGCCTGGGCTGCGCCCCGAGGCGGGTGTGTCCCTGCGGCTTGGCCAGCTGGGGAGGGCCTCGGCCCCGGGGTACCCCACGGATCGTCCCCCTCGACCTCCTCCGAGAGCCGTGGCCGCAAAGGCCGGTGCCCGGGCTCGGCTGGGGGAAGGGACCAGGGAGAGGCCACTCGAGCTCTGAGTCCCAGAGTCCAAGGGGACAGCGGGTCCCCGTGACCAGGCCCCGGAGCCACGGGCGCTTGGGCCCATGGGCGAGGAGGGGGCGCCCGGCCAGGCCTCCTCGCCCCATAACCGACACTGCCCCCAAAAGGCAGGCCCCGCTGTCCCTGCGCGCCGGCTCCCCTGCCTGCTTGGGGGTCAGGCCCTCGTCCACCCGGAGCAGGCCGCCCGTCTTCCTTCCATTGTAAGCGCCCGTGCACACAATAGGGAAATTGAGGCAGAGGACTGGCTCAGGAGCTGCCTCTCATCAAGGCCGAATTGAGGGGCGCCACCGGCTCCTGTCGTGTTTATGGAAACACAAGTTGGGGAGCCACTGGCTGCCGTGGGTTGGGGTCTCCACCAGGAAGGGGGGCCCCCCCCCCGGTTGTTCCCGGGGGAGCTCTCCCTGGATCCTGCCTGGCGTGGAAAGGTACCTGTCCTGGCAGGGTCCTGGCCACACCTCCCTGCAGTACCCCTGCTGGACCCCGAGGGAGCCAGCACGGTCTCCTTGGTCTTATTTGGGAGTCTTTGGAGGACAGGAATGAATGGGGCCCTTAGGAGGTGGTGACACTTGGATGGACCCGATGCAGCAAGGGACTTGTCTTGGGTCACAGGGGCACCGGCATGAAAGTCATAGGTCCCTGCTGCACACCTGCGACCTGGACTGGGCATGGCTTCAAAGGGGTCAGTGGCTCTCACCTGCTGATTGGGACCACACCTATCAGATAAAGACGGGCGCTGGGTGCGGCACAGCAACGGTCAAGAACAGAGCCCGGGCCAGCCTGTACCAGGACTAGGGGTGGGGTGTCCGAGGTCCCCTACATATTCAGGGGCCTCCTTCCTAATGAACGCTTATGGCACCCAGAGGGGACCCCAGCAAGTCGTCGAAAAGTCCTAGGACCCCTGACCCAGCCCTGAACAGAGGACTGCTAGGTGGACAGCACAGGTGGGGGGCGAGATGCCACCAGCACGCACAGGGAACAGGAGAGTTGGGGTGTCTGGCTGAAACTTGTCTCCCAGGCCCCCTCTACTCGGCCTGGGGCCTCCTTGGCTTCCTCTCCAAGGCCTTTGTCTCCAAGTGTGTGGGGACAGATGGGCCCTGGGTCCCGCCCCGCCCCGGCATCCCCCAAGTCCATCGGGAGGACAGCCTGGCCAGGGGGGCGGTGGCCGCCAGCCCCCTGCGGCAGCAGCCCCCCGCCCCGCAGGGACGAGCGGTGGGCGGGGGCGCGCGGCGCTGCTTCCCCTTCCGCGCTGTGTCACCGGCGGGCCCAGGTGCGGCGGCAGGTGCGCGGGCGGCCCGGGCGCACGGCGCGGCCATATTTGGTGATTTCGGCGCCGCCCCGCCCGCTGCCGCCGGGAAGCCCGCGGTCCGCCCGCAGCGGGGCCTGAGTCACGGGCGGGCGGGGTGGGAGTAACGGCCGGCGCCAGCGCCCTCGCCTTATTTAGGCAGGAGGCCGCTGATTGGGCCTCGGACAAGGGGGCGGTGCGAGGAGCCGGTCGAACGGGCGGCGGGCTGGGGACTGCCCACTGCGGCTGCCCAGTCGGCCCGTAGGGCTGAGGGGTGCCGAGGTCCTCTAGAGGCCAGGGGCCGAGGGGCCTGGAGAGGAGGGGAGTGGTCAGCAGGAGGGGGGCGCAGCTGGATGCCCACCGCGGAGCACGAGGAGGAGGGTGTGTGGCCCGAATCACCCGGTGCGGAGCTGTGAGGCCTTCCCTGGGGGGGGAACCCTTGGGAGCCCCTCGCTGGAGGTGGGAGGAGGCTGGAGGAGTGAGAGGCCACAGTAGCACTTGACGGGGTGTGTGCACTATGCCCAGGATGAAGACTTGAGGCTCAGAAATGGCCTCGTTTCCTGCTGTTTGTAGTTGAAGCCTGCTTCCGGAGTTTTTTTACGGTGGCCTTGCTGTATTCCATCATTGTCCCGTTGATAACAGAAGAGAAAACCGTGGCTGGAAAGGGGTGACTCCCTGCAGCCTAGGACAGCCTGCCCCGAAGTCCTGGACATTTCCAGCACCTGGTGGCCCCCCCCCCCGTAGAGTCTGCACCTGAAGAGGTGCCCACCAGACAGGGCAGGACCACAGAATGAGCCCAGGACTGGCCTTTGTCTCTGCCCTTCCACGCTCTGGGCCAGGAGCCACCACGGGGCCCTGGAGGGGAACAGGGGTGCTACAGGAGGGCAGCCATTGCTAGCCTCTTGGTCTTGATGGCTGGACTGAGAGGAAGCCAGCTGTGGGGCTAACTGGACACCCATGAAGGGCACCCAGCACAATGGTCACGACTTTAATGTAAACCTGAAATCATTCCAAAATAAACACATTAACAGGGAAAATAAACATTTACCTCCCGCTTGTGTTTTTACATTTCTCCCCGCTTGAGTGAAGGTAGTCCCTGCTTCTGTGTCCTGAAGACTGACAGGGCCCTGAATGAGCTGCTGCTGGACCGGCCACCCCAACATGGACCCTCACTGCTCTGTGCAGGGGTCCCACGGGCTGGGATGGCGGATAAGGCCAAGGGAAGGGTCACACACACCTGTACTAGTGGCTCTGATCAGCTAGTAATGCCCAGGCTGAAGTGTAGGTGGTCAGGAGGCAGTGCCCCCTCCCCTGGATGGAGGGGCCCTCTGCCACCCTCAGTTGTCCCTACGTTCTGCTGGCCTGCTGGAGTTGGTCCCTCCACAGAGCTCACAGGGCACACTCACAGTTCAGAGGTGTATTCGGGAAGTTTCAGGATCGGGAACCACTTGGGACCCAGTTGGTCACTGAGGGCAGCTCGGAGCTGCCACCATTTCTCTGCCCATGCTTCTTGCCACCTCCAGCATTAATAGCTGTCTGTCTGTCTGCTGAGTTCACCAGGTTCTCAGCCCAGGGACCCAGGCCTGGCTCTCCAACTCTGAGATGGGGGCACAGCAGGGCAAAGCTGGCTATCCTGCTGTTAGGATTTCATACATTTTATTTCCATGACCCCACCCCTAGAGGGTGCACCCTACTTGATTACTAGAAAGCCATCCAGGCCCCCTGGTGAGTCACAAGAACCTTACTTGCAGAGTCCCACCCAGTAGAAAATTCATAGGGTTTTGTGGTTTTTTTCTCTTTCTCAGAACTAGACCCTTCTTCTTAGCCTGTGATGGTCTGAGGTCCCACTGGCCTTCCCCCAGTGGCTGGTCCTACTGGTGTTTGAATGGTGGCATAGCTCCAGAGCAAACTCACAGCCTGACCCCTGGGCAGGTAAGTGGTGGCCTACTTTTAAAAGACAATTGGCAGAGTTCTGGTGGCCTGAAGCTGCACTGCAATCCTGAAGGTGAGTGGTTTGAATCCACCAGATGCTCCACTGTAGAAGGAGGGGCAATCTCCACCTGTGCCAGTCGGATCCGGTTCAACAGTGCACAAGCACAAAAGATAATAAAGTTAAAAAGAATTTATTTTAAAAAAAGACAGTTGGCCACTGAAACCCCTGTGAATCATTACAGGGCACTGCCTGACTGGCCACTGGAAGATGACCCTGTAGGCTGAAAGGCACTCAGAACAAGACCAGGGAGGAGCTGCCTTGATCTGTTAACCTGGATGAAGTTTGAAGATTAAAGCTTCTAGCAAATGAAGAACCTTCACTTGCTGCTATGGCATGCTCAAAATGAGAAGATACAGCTGCAAACCCCATCAGTTAATTGTAACATGTAAAGTATGAATAAAAAAAAATTGAAAGTCAGGGAGCTCTGGTGGCCTAGTGGCAAGAAGCTGCACTGCAATCCCAGAGGTGCATGGTTCGAATACATCAGATGCTCTGCTGGAAAAGGAGGGACAATCTCCTCCTGTACCAGTCAGATCTGATTTGATGGTACACACACACACACACACACACACACACACACACAGAAATTTGAAAGTCATCAGAAATTGGCACGCATAAGGACATCCTGCACGTTGGAGCTGAAATGGACTGCTGCTGGCTGTTCTGAATTGGACAATCACATAGACTATTATGCCCGCAATGACAAGTTGAAGAGGAATGGTGTCACATGTGTCATCAAAGAGAACATTTCAAGATCTATCCTGAAGTATACAGCTCTGTC